GGTATACCTCCTGACGTCCCCCATCTTAATCTAGACCGACTGTGTACCCTATCTGTGCCATACAGCAACACTCCTTAACATCTCTCTACAAAACCAGTCAGTGCCGACGTCATCACACAAAACCAACACCGAATATCAGGACAAAAACGAAAAAAAATGACAACACAGATCAGATATGAATGTTTGTCCGTGCGCCACGGGTCGATGTCGCCCGCATGTGATCGATAATTCGGTTGGCTCAGTTGTGTGTGATGGGAGTGTAGAGCAGCTCGGCCATGACGGGCCGTAGGGGTAGGTAAAGTCGTACAGACGTGTTGGAAAACGTGTTGTATCCGTGTTGTATTCATCGGGGGCGTGCTTGAGCTCGTCATTCCATCACGGCATCAAGTCACGCATAACGCTCAAACACCCAAAACGAATCTCCATGAATGTCCACCAATCTACCACACTCCCAAGGAAAACATAAAGAAACTTCTTGTTCCTCCGTAGTTCGTCACTGCAATACCCGCATATGTATACGCAATATACCACCCGCATGCTATGCTACGAGTATATCGAATAGCCCCCCTGCTCGTATGCATCGTCATGCTCCGGGAAAATATCATAGTCATCCTTCTCATACCAGTTCATCCCAAAACACAATCAAAACCAAGAAAACGAAATACTTCAAACACGACAAAAGTATCGAAATGGCATACCAACACGCGAATATCACTCTCGCTCCCTTCTGAAAATTCTCAACTCAAACTCTTTTCATCCAGAAAAATATAACGAACGCCGTTCAAAGACGCCTTTCCTTTCACCGCCAATTCGTCACAATATCTCGGTGCGTCTCTAAATCCGTCTAGCTAGATATCCTACCATTACCAAGATGTATGGAATCCTAAGACAAATTAAAAAAAAAAATGAACGATAATTCGGGTGACCCAGTTCTATGTGCTTGGAGATTAGAGCGGGTGGCCCATGATGGGGCGTGGATGGGTAAAAACGTGTTGGGAAACGTGTTGTATCCGTGTTGTATTCATCGGGGGCGTGCTTGAGCTCGTCATTCCATCACGGCATCAAGTCACGCATAACGCTCAAACACCCAAAACGAATCTCCATGAATGTCCACCAATCTACCACACTCCCAAGGAAAACATAAAGAAACTTCTTGTTCCTCCGTAGTTCGTCACTGCAATACCCGCATATGTATACGCAATATACCACCCGCATGCTATGCTACGAGTATATCGAATAGCCCCCCTGCTCGTATGCATCGTCATGCTCCGGGAAAATATCATAGTCATCCTTCTCATGCCAGTTCATCCCAAAACACAATCAAAACCAAGAAAACGAAAATACTTCAGACACGACAAAAGTATCCAAATAGCATACCAACACACGCTTATCACTCTCGCTCTCTTTTGAAAATTCTCAACTCAAACTCTTTTCATCCAGAAAAATATGACGAACGCCGTTCAAAGACGCCTTTCCTTTCACCGCCAATTCGTCACAATATCTCGGTGCGTCTCTAAATCCGCCTCGCTAGATGTCCTACCATTACCAAGATGTATGTATGGAATCCTAAGACAAATTATTCCATTCATCCACCAAACCTTCGTCCGCAGGTGAAACGCGAACAAGTAATATCTCCCCAAAATACTCACAATATATCATTAATGTTCGGTGAAGAAATGTCAGCAACGCCATTTCGTTTGAAAGAATATAACGTGCCCCCCTGCTCCGAGGATCCGCCCCCCTGCTTTGTGAAGGGGTCGGAGTCAAGCCGAAAAACAATACGAGAGGTGCCGAAAATCATAACAGTACTTCTGATCCTCTCATCCACACTTCAATCAGATCTGAAAAACCAAACCCAAGCTCAAATCAAACAAAACAAACGCCAAATCTCAAACTAACTCAAATTCAAGATGAACCTCAATGCGCCTACTTTTCCAGCCATAATCCCCAGCGCATTGGACCACTGCCCCTGCCATTGTTTCTCCCCCGTGGATTTTCGCTCGCCTCCGCCGCGGTCGCCTTCTGTGCTCTTCGTCCGGCTGGCCGCGGCTGGAGCATCGTCAGTAAATCGGCCGCCTTCGTTGGGGGAGACCAAACAATTGCCGCTCCAGAAGGATTGACTCGGCAGCGGTGGAGGGCAGGTCGCGCGTTCGGAAGGGAAGATGGTGGCACAATCAGTTCCTTATAAAACAGCACTCCTGAGGAGAATCACATTCCACAACACTCCCCCCGGTTCTGCACAGGGGTGACTGCTGTACCAAAACAAAATAAAATACAGTTGGACATCCAAAATTTCTCTTCTGCTCACGCCGTGAAACTTCAAAGTTCGTGTTGTGCCACCGANCGAATCACATTCCACAACACACCCCCGGTTCTGCACAGGGGTGACTGCTGCACCAAAACAAAACAAAATACAGTTGGACATCCAACTTTTCTCTTCTGCTCACGCCGTGTAACTTCAAAGTTCGTGTTCTAC